AGGCGTGCTTAACGAGTTTGTATCATTTACTCATTAAATCATAATCATATAATAAAATAATCATTGCCGTTTGTTGTCTGTCAATACTTCTCAGTCATGTGCAAGCACATTCGCGGACAAAAGTTTGGGTATAACATTAACAAAATGTTGCCCAACTTTGTAAGAGGCGACATAAAAATGTTTAGGTAAAAATTGAGGACGTTTATAATGTAAAATGATACAACTGAAAGGCCATTGTAATGTTCTTTTCATTCAGTTGACCTAATTGCCTCTGTAAGGTTATTTACAGAAACTTTTCAGTGATCCTACAGCGTCAATTCAATGGGCAGTGTCCAATCAGTTGATAGCTGAAAGGTGAAATTATTTAAACAATAAAATGCTTTCTTTGGTTGTTAGTACGAGAATTAATGTTGCAGCTGTTGCAGAAAAATATATTTATAATTTTTTCTGCAATAGCTGCGACGTTAATTCGCGTACTAACATACAAAGAAAGACATTTTATTGTTTATATTTATATCTTAAAAAAAAACATTTGAAGTAAATTAAATATGTTAAATATTGTATTATAGATGTATATGTCATTGTATGCATAATTGATGGAACAGCCATTGCTTAAGAAATCCATGCAGGTGGCTTGCTAAGTGTTGTTTATGGACTGATTAACGGCAATGGTTTTTATAAGAAATGAAGGAAATAGTATTCGGTGGATGTAAATATTATGTGCTACAGTGTAACTTCTTACCTTTGACGTAATGTATGAACAGGACATATAATTACATGTATCTATTCAATATTGTTCTTAAAGTTAAGGTCAGAAAATATGTATCGGGTATGTTGCAAATTTAGCTTTAATACAAAAATTCCTTCAAAAATGAATGCTATACATATATTTTCGTAATATTTTCAATTTTTCCAAACTTTTCAGAAAAAAATTGCCTTTCTTTGTGTATATAAATATGTGTTTGATTTATTAATAATTTAAATAAAAATGAAATACTGTAAGTCGTTTTAATTCCACGGTGTTAAAATTTCACGATTTCTCAAAAAGTACAAATCGCAATGATTTTAATTTCACGCTGCGAGAAATTAATTTATATTTCGTATAATCAATTAAGCGTTTTTAAAATCTAATGAAGCATTCACAATGGATTTAATTTCGCGGAAAATTGATGAATCGCGAACATAGTGAAATTAAAACCATCGTGATTATTTGCTAATCTACAGTATATATAACAAATTGGACTGGAATAGATTAGCCTCTAAATCTCTATTGATTGAGTTACGGAGATAAATGTTTACACTCAAATGAGTGATTAAGACCACCTCTTCTGAGATTTCATGTAAACAGGAAAAGGCAAGCCCTTTTACTATTTATTTGGAAAATAAGAATTCTGTTTAAGTTACAGAGACATCACTTTAAAAATAGAGATATCTCTAAATTTATAGAGATATCTCTTAAATTTAGAGAGATATCGCTTTTACTTGCAGAGATATTGCCTTCTCTTTCACCTAGAGAGATATCTCTTTCACTTTACACATATAGAGATAAAATAATATCTCTTTTTCTTTGCTTTTGCACAGAGAGATATTCTTTACTTTAAAGAAACATCTCTTTTAAGTTAAAAGGATTTCTCTTTTAGTTAAAGTGATATCTCTCTAGTCTAAAGAGATATCTCTTTAGCATAAAGAGATGTCTCTCATATTTAATGAGCTATCTCTTTCTTGAATAAATAGTTAAAAGACTTGCCATACTTTTCTGCAGGTAAATGAGAATTTCATCTGTTGTTATCTATCGATTGTTTTTACATTCTGCGATTAGATAATTAAGTTTCAGTGCAATAGACAAAAAAAATCTTCCACTCATTACTTATTACACATATTAGAGAATATCAAAGAAAGGATCTGCTGTATTACTTTAAAGCCCAATCTCAGCTGATGTATACGAAAGCCGGATAGTTATCTCGTTATAACGAGTTAATTAGTTATCTCGTTATAACGAGTTAGTATCTCGTTATAACGATAATTATCTCGTTATAACGAGTTAGTTATCTCGTTATAACGAGTTAGTTATCTCGTTATAACGAGATAGTTTTCTCGTTATTTCGAGATTTAATAGCAATATAGGAATAAAAATGACTGTAGTTTTTAATGCCATTGAATTTTTAGCTAGTAATTATCAATCAAATTTTAACTTGAACAAAATTGATAAATGGTTGAAAATTTAATTTGTTCTGGGGTCTACTTATGATTAAATCTTGAACTATCTCGCTATCATTAATCATATTTTGATAAGCATAGCAACTCTAAGGCGAACACATTTACACATTAATTCGTGAACGCCTCCTCAAATTGTTGAATTAGGACGCGATTTTTTTCTTAAAATAATATTGCCAAATATACTTGCTTTAAACTTTGGCAATGCCAAATTCGTAAATTAAAATGTTTCTTTCTTTTAATAAAAAAGAAATATATAAATTATTAAGTGATAAGTACAGTATTAGTTCTTGAAATTCATCATATTTATTATTGAGGGGAAGAAGGGATCGATGATGAAAGCAACGTGAATTTAGTTTTTTGTCAGATATTGAATTTTGATCTTGCCCCTTTAAGACGATAAAATTGAACCGGTATTCCTTGTTAACATACAAGGAATTATCAAAATATGGACGTTAAAGCCGAACAAATGGTATCATATCGACATTATTAATTCGGAATATATAAATTAATGGGAATGTTTCTATGCATTTTTATTGCGACAAAAATTACTCAAAAATTATCATAATTTTAACAAAGTCAAGAAAGCTTGAACAGGGCAGTTAAATCAGCCAGAATATATCATTTTTTTTCTGATCTCCTTGTACAAGTTGACAAAATTTTGTCGTTATATACATTCCACTTGAAGATGACACTAATTCTATTTTGCAATTTTAAGGTATAACACAACATGAGGCGGTCAAAAGTTTCCGTATATTTGTCTTCGGTCTTTTCAATAAACAATACTAATCAAAGGCATAACACAATAAACTAGTATGCTGTTGTTCCATAAAATCGTTATCACGCAAAATTCAAACAAATTTGATCGACTCGTTTATGTATATTTCCTATAAATAGTGGTCTATTCTTTACTTCGATATATCAACTCTTTAGATCAATTTTTATCTCGAGATAATTATCTCGTTATAACGAGATTACTTACTCGTTATAACGAGATACTAACTCGTTATTACGAGATAATAACTCGTTATTACGAGATACTAACTCGTTATTACGAGATAATTATCTCGTTATAACGAGTTAAATTTTTTTTGTCTTGTCAAAAATGAGCCTATCCGGCTTTCGTAGATGTAGGCTGATGCAGGAACAAATTCAACATGATATCGAAATTTCAAATGGAGTTATCGCGCTTTTCTTAGTATAGCGAATGATAAATATGAAATTTATGTCCCAAACAAGCAGCTTCTTCATATCCAAAATATTTTCTTAAAAGTATTTCGTCTACCCTTATAGAAATAGTTATTCTTGATTTGACTCATATTAAGACTCTAAATGGATAAGATTTTGATATAACTATAAACTGTAAGTGATTTTAAGACAATTCAGCTGAAATACCTGGAGTATTGTAGACCATAATGGAACCTTTTTTTGAAAAAAAAAATTACTTCTTGTCCTCCAGAAAACCATCGGAAGGTACTTCCGGTCAAACTCGACAACATAAGTCAACAAAAACTTATCTTATTTAAGGGAAGATTCATGGATTAACCAGAGAAACATATATGTACCTCGGAAACGGTCATGAAAATATGAAAAAAAAAAAAAATATTACTTAGCAGTTCCCTACCTGATCAAATCAAAGCATTGCTGACTAAATATCGTACAGAAGAAGACAAAATCAAGTAATATGATAAAGGATCAATGAATTTTGGGTTTAGTTTATTAATATCATAACCACAGAACCGGATTTGGGGTCGGGGGTTCACAACAGAATAACAATTATTTACATTGAGAGGTATATAAAAATACTATTATGAGTCCAGGAGTGGGTTTCGTAGAAGTTTTACAGATGAATATTTTCTTTTACAATGTAAGACAAGACGTCAATTTATCCATTAACAAATAGACGAATATGATAGATTTTTCTTTGTCTATTTAAAAAAAGAATATATGTCATTCTGTGTATTTTTAGAAGTAATTAATGTAGATTTATATATAATTAAGCTTGTATCTCTAAAACTCTACAAAAATACAATATTAATCAGCTAAAATTTTAAAAATTATTTACATTATAAATACAAAGTCGTTTCATGTATATATATTTTTAGGCATTTATATTAAGAACCAGTTAAACAAAACCGGGACAGATTTCTAGATATGACTAGGAAATCCACTCAATTATAAAATTAAGTGCTTTAAGGTCAAATAAAAGTGGGAAATAAAGGAGAAGAGAAAGTACCATGTATTAAGATGGCTAACATTGTCGTCTCAGTTTTGATTTTGCTATACATTTCTTCTAAAGTTTCTACAATTTCACCTGGTACGTTTGGTGGATGTATGAAATCAGAGTAAGTAAAATAAAAAGTCAAGTGATTTCTATCAAAATCTATTTCACAGAGTTGTTTAACATTTGTGAAATATTTCATTTTTTTAAAATTTCCTCAGAAGTAATTATCACATATTTTGTAGTGGTACAAGATACTGCTGTTCTGGTTTTTATGAAGAAAATGATATCTGTCTCGGTAAGTACGATTAATTTAAGGGTAGAAAACTTTCAAATATTTTATTTGAGAACCATTTAAAATGATAATGGTCTTTACTGACTTATTGTTCAGCAAATGATAAAATGAATTAATCCCTGCTTTTTTGTACTGATACTACATGACCTCCTATTTATGTTTTGCCGGGTTATGTGCCATTTCAGTGAAAATGCACTTGCAAAAATATATCCATTATCCTCCCCTCTTTCCTCTTTAAAATGATACGACTTATCCTTTGTAGAATGTATTGGGTATGTTGGCTATAACTGTACAAAACCATGTCCTCCTGAATGGTTTGGACCTAGATGTACAAAGCCATGTCCCTGTTCCGATAGTGAATGTGATAACGTTCTTGGTTGTGTCCAAGGTAAATTCAACTCTGAAAAATGTTATTTTCTATTCGATGTAAAAGAATCTGGTTCCCATATACAATATTCTTCAACTCATGTGATGTGCTCAAAGATATGTTTCACTGATTTATTTATTAGAGAGTATGTCAACAGATTCAAAACCTGATAGTACCATATCGGACTACGTGTATGCATCCACTTCCATAGAACATACTTCGATATCCACTTCCAAAGAATTTACTTCCAAAGAAGTTCTTTTAGAAGATTTAAGCAAAAGCGGAGGACCTTGGGAAAGACTTGTACATTTTATTAGGACAGTAAACACAGAATACTGGGCTATCATCTCCAGTATTTTGTGTATCCTCGTGTTTGCTGCATTGTGTGTTATAATTGTATTGTGCAGGAAGAAAGGGTAAGAGGAAAAAACAACATTTATTTTTACACTTCCGGTAAATTAAGAATCTATGGCTATACTTTTAATACATGAATTGTATTTTCCTTTTTTAAAGGAGAGGAAAGCAAACAAATACGGATCATCGTTTATACACGAGCAACCGGTATATAGAACAGACGGACGGCGAGAGGTACTGTGACCTGAACACATATACAGATCCTTTGGAAGTTAAAATGAATGTTTGCTTTGGTGGACATCAAGTTGCACAGGGCACAACAGAGTACATGCACTCAGACAGTATGTTTGAAGAACGAACTGATAGTCATGAGTACGTTAGTATGAATACCCATTGTTATACAGAGTTGTCAAATGTGAATGACTCAAAGCCAAAAGATTATGGGTCATCAGAGCATGTGTATATGCGTATTTAAAAGCAAAGTTTTCCTTTAAAAAATTGTCCGCTTCTATTTCGAAATTGTAATACAACAATGCATTTCCTTTTTTTTGGTAAAGATTTGAAAACTTTCAAAATCCAGTCTATGAAAATTGTGAGATTTTTAATTTTTTTATTCATTTATCTATTAGTACATTGTATTATTATTTTTTCCTTACATACCTCAGGCTTATGCGATAAATGTATAATGAGAGAGAGAGAGAGAGAGAGAGAGAGAGAGAGAGAGATTTCATACTCTTATTTTGTAAGGTTAATAATGTTAATGTCATATCTATACGGACATAGTATTTCTCCTAAAATAGACACATCAAAATGATTTTGGTACATAAGAACGTAAGTCTGTATGGAGAGAAAAAAGTTGAAAATTATTAGTTTTCATATTGTAAATGCTTTTCTAAGTAGCACTATGAACAAAACAACTTTAGGTATTTTAATCAATCAATGTTCAGTTGTTGTGAAGTTGTTACACATGTTTATCAGTGTGATTTGATTCTTAATGTGTACAACATAATTAAAGAAAAACATCTCCTTATTTACATATATAATTAAGCATATAAGTAAAAACATTACGTATTTTTTTTGTTGTTGTTGACAAATTCGATATTTTTTGAGAATGTATGTACTCTACAATATCGGATCAGCAGTTTTTAATTTTGACAAATGTGCATTTCCTTCTGAGAATATTTCAATTCATAGAAAAAAAAGTTGGTAATCTGTTTTACAGAAGATTTTTGTCAGAATTAACGTGATATTAGACACCGAAGAACTTAATTATTGGTGTTTAAGTAGTTTTGAAATATACGAACTGGTTTGTTTAACCACACTTAATAGAAAATATAGTTATCGGTGTATATTACCAAAAATTTCTACTCTTGTTTACTCTAGTTTTACTTCTCATATCACTTATCCATTCATAGATTAAATTATGACAGAATTAGCCATTTTGTTGGGATTGGAGTGTACAATCTCGTTTCATGCATATAACTTTTTCAATCTGAATGTTCTTTTGGTATTTTTTTTTTAGCCAAGACAAAAAAGCGAAACATATTTAAAGCAAAACCATGTTCTTGAGTGCTTATGCTTTTATTAAAATCATGACAATATTTATCGAGCTATTGTAGTTTACCTTTGAATGAAATATGAAGAAAGTCAGTTGAAACAATGCATATTGTGAAAAGAGCAAACACAGACCTCTAAATCATCAAAGGTGTGATCAAATACCATGGAGGAGTAAGCATTCCATAAGAACGGATTGTATTTTCAAATTCATGGTATCGACCAGAGAATTTGCAAAATGTTGACTTCAAATGAGAGTGTATATCCTTACATCATCAGCATAATACGTATTTACGAATACGATTTGTTCCAAACATATTTGAAAAAATAGATCAGTGATACTATTTCTTCGTGACTTCTAATTTTTTTTCACATATGCTCTGCACAGCAACTTTAGGGAGCTCTTGTCTTTCTAGGCCTATTTAAGGTGGGCAGTAGTTGTTTATGGTGAAAGGTGATAGGACAGGATAGAACACGTACTTTTTTATTTCTTTTACCAATCTTTTTAAAGTATCTCTTAATATAATAATCTTCTGTAGATATGGTGGATTTAAGTTATTTTCCCTATCCCTGATCAGAATTTATATGACATTTACAGATAAAGGAAAAGTATATTGGCTAATTTACACAATTGATTAAATCATTCATTCATATTCATAACTTTGCAATTTTTCCTGTATACAATTAAATTAAACATTTCAGTTTTCGAGATCATTGCATTTGCAACGCTTAATGATATATCTATCATTATGCGGCGTTGTATCATTAGAGATTGTTACGATGCACTCTAATTCTAATGTAAAAAATTAATAAATTTTGTATATTTTACGATGAGAATCGATAAGCTCTTATTTGCAATGTAAATAGTCCTTTGTAAATGTAAAATAATCTTATCATAGTACATATACATGAAAGATGTATGTTAAATATCTAAGGAAGTAATAAGTAAGGGAGTAATAATATAAAATAAAACAAATTAACAGAAATCTGTAGTATACCTTGCCAATCTTTGACTTAATACCTTTCATAAAATATTAATATAAAATTGTAATGCTACTGATATGGTTCATTAAAACGTAGGAATTTTCTAAACTTTATAAAAGCATTCCTAACAATAAATAAAAACTAAGCTATTTGATATAGACAACTGCTTCTTCAATGAAAATGGAGCACGGAAATTTTCGTGTGATTGGTCATCAACAAAATCACATTGATTCTATACACAAGTACTCTGAAGTTGATATTAAAAGGATGTTCGAGTTCTTCATTGACAACATTTATTTATTCTTTAGAGAACAGGTCTTCCAGCAAAGTGTTGGAATTCCGATCGGCACTAATCACTGACCAGTTTTTATATTCATACGAAGCAGAATTTATTCAAAAACTTCTACATGAGAAGAAGGAAACACTTGCTATGGCTTACAACCAGACATTCAGATATAACGACGATATTTTATCAATTAACAATAGCTACTTTCATTCATACATGTATGTCGACTAGATAGGTCCCAATGAACTAAGAATACTGTAAATCACTTTGATTCGCGAGGAAATTTATTTTTTTGCGTAATTACGCAAGGCCTTCTGCTTGCGAAATCTTCATTCTTGAGTATAATTCTGCTATTAAAGTTAACATAGCAATAACCACAATTGTATGACAAACGAGATGACTTCAGCTTTTCAATCTTCAGCTTTCCTTATTTATGGATTAACATTCCATTATCACCTGCATATTGTGCTTATGTCTCCCAACTTATTCGATACTCAAGAGCATAGTCTGAGTACAATCAATTTTGAACCAAGGTAGGCTACTGACAAATAAATTTCTGCTACAGGCTTTTCAACAATTTTGACTGCGTGACACATTTCACAATATTTACATTTTCCAACGTCTTTCTCTGAGATAAAACTACTAATAAGATAGTGGCTTTATAACCCCATAAATCGGTTTGCTCAGCACGTGACAGAACTGCATGCTTTTTCGCTGCGTGTTGCTTAGTAATACACCTGGTGGGGATGCTGAGATTTCTTATTATTGATTTTTCTTTTAAATTAAATCAAGGATGAGGTAAAAATGTAAATATAAGGAATAACTTTTTTTTTTTTTTGCTTTATGGTGATGATCAATCAATTTGCTGGCGTGACAATTTAACGCATAAAAGCCTTCAGCAAATTGATTGATCACATCATAAAACCAAAAACTAGACAGTTATTCCTTAATTATTTAGTAGACCTTTGTTTTTATACTAAGTCTGACTACGGATTATTCTATCTACCTCATCAATACATGGAACTTATTGTTACGACTTACAGCTTTATGTTTAGCGGCGTAACATTGTGGGGCTCCTTAATCTGAATGTTGAACGAAAGACAACAGGATATAATTTGTTTTTAATATTTTATTAGATTTTATTCAATAAACATACAAAAATATTCTTCTTTGGCTCTGCGGTCCTCACCTGAAATAAAAGCAAACCAACCACCCTTTCCAACAAATGTTAATTTATAAACCACCCTTAAACAAACCCTTTAATGAGTGTAAATAGACCTAATGCCTTTAGGTCTTGAATAAAGTTCCAACTAGTGATTTCTTCACTTAGTGAGTATAAATATAAAATGTCAGGTTATAGCAAACAACTAATTGTATAGGGACAAAAAGTTATGCTAACATCTCAACAAAACTCAATACAATGCACCATGCATTTGTTAGTTTGTTGTTAATAATAATGTCAGGAGTTATAAATATCACGTTCAGGTCACTTCTTGTGCCTTAGTAAATATTATTCAACAATAAACAATAACGAGTCCAGATCACTACTTGTGTCTGAATAAAACTCATTAAACTAAAAGTCAATACAAATTGAGGGATAATTACCCATCTAAACTCTTCTGAGCCTTGTTCTTGTAAGGTCATCGTTATCTGACAGATTTGGCGACCGCACAGTGAGTGAGACAGCAGACGTCTGACTGTCAGAGCCCGGGGAGCTCGTATATAAAGCCTTCACACCCATTATGACGTATATTGCATGAGATTTGGCGCCATAACTTCAAATAGCCGGAAAGCTTCGGATACATTTAACTATTATACGCATCCGAGGTGTTCCGAATGTACTTTACATCTTTTGCCGCTTAGTATGAAAAAGCAGAGTGTAATTGTAAGGTTTTTACTCTAATTATCAGTGAATGGATTTATTAATTACCCCAATTATCAAAGGTAAGAATATTTAGTACTATATAAAAGCATTTGTAGACCAGTGAATGGTTTATTTACGCTCCGTATTCCTCAAAACGTGGAGGAAATTCGGTACCTGGTGAACAATTTGCACCTAGCACATCATTGATTTCAAATAACTCTAATAAATAATAACAGGTAAGCAAGAATAAATGTCAATACATCTCATTCATTCAATCATCCATCGAATCATCATTTTAATGACTCATATAACAAGAAACATCTTGTTTACTTATGCATAACAATAGTGGAGAATGTCAAATTCGTAACATTATGGCGGGTGTGACCGGTCGACGGGATATGCTTACTCCTCCTAGGCATCTTATTTGACCTCTGGAATTTCCAGAAGTCTGTTTTTTATGCCTTGTTCACAGATTTGTATCGTTTGTATAGGTTTTCATTTGAGATCAATCATTGTTAGTTATCTTCACTTTATTCATTAAAGAAAAACTTTTGATAAGCAATGATTATTACGTGGGAGATCTGAGCGTTTTTAATGGTGTGTGCAGGAATAAAATAGTAAGAGGAAAAACAAAACAATATTTAAGCATATACTTCCGAAAATTTTTGTAACATGAAATTGTGATCGATAAGTCTCAATTTCCTTTTTTTAGAAGAAGAAAGCAAACAAATCTAAATTTTTGTATGTAGACAAACAATTGGTACATGTTTAAAGGACAGACAAAAAGTAATAAGTACCATGGTCTGAAAATAGAGTACTAGCAC